ATCGCCTCCGACCGTGAGCCTAGTCTGACTGCCGGTCCAGCAAGGCAAAAACGGATTTGTCAACATACCCAAAAGTGTATTTTGACTAACGGGGGAAGAAGAGTAGCGGGTAGAACAAAAAGGTTCCTGATTGGCCGAGCGCTTACCCCCATTCCTGGCGTGATGTAGAGACGGGAAGTTCTCGACCAATCGGTAACGTTTATGTTCTACCCGCTCTTCTTCTTCCTCCGTTAGTCGAAATACACTATTGAGGTTAGGTTAGGTTTCACTTTACAGTTCGTAATACCCGGTAAAATACCATATACTGGTTTTAGCGTCATTGTCCAAATTCGTGACGAACATTTCGTACATTGTACTTTGACCATTGAACCAAAATTAACCGTTTACAAAACACAAGCGGGACAGGGACAGCATTATGCCACACTTTACTGTTTAGTTTACACTGACGATTGTCCTACCTCTGCAAATGAGTTGAGATGTTGATTTGCGGCCTTGCAGTTAAATTCTGAGTACTCTCTTCGCGCGCCGTCCACTCGCTCGCGCTGGATCTGGTGTTTGGGGTGCATGTACGGCGCACTCGTTCTGCGTCTGCCTGCCGCACTGACACCGCCACATTACGATGTGTCAGGGAGGGGGGCTACCACACAACAGTGTTGCGGGCTTGCACACCCTATGGGTTGTGGCGCCGTGTGCCGGAAGTCACATAAAACCGGCTCCAGAGGTCTTATGATGCCAAAATATTGTACAAACGTAAAGAATCAATTCCGATGAGAACTAGTTTGTCTCTTCATAACAGATTCTAGGGCTCTAGGTAGGCTAAATTTCGTTTTGAAATAGCCGACTTCCGGTGCATTTGTTTTTAGAGGCACGAGCGGAATGGTCTATTGTAAAGAGACTTGTTGTTCATCACCAGGAATATAATTCGACAGTTGTGTATGTACAGTCTTTACGTCTCATAGTCGTGGTGTGCTGCGATTCGTAACCTGCAGCTCCACGCAAGTTACGCTTTAGCGGCAGGTTCGGCAACGGAGGGTTTACTATCTGTAGAGACCACGCCGTCTACACTACCAGGTACAGACGACACAGATGATGGGACAGAGCTCGGATCGCTCCCGGATAGGGGTGCTGTTGAAGTTTGTTTGTCATCTGCTGTGGTCTTTTGGGCAACAGGAACCTCCCCGTCAGCTGCTAGAGGGACAGCAGCAGCATCCAAAGCCACGACGCCAGCGTCGCCCTCGGGCACAGGACCCTCTCCAGCTGCATAAGTAAGCGGCGCGTCCGCTCCAGCACCAACTCCAGCGGTGGCTGTGCCCTGCGCCTGGTGCACGACGGGGACGTCGTGGTTGGCGTGTCCGATGTGCGGGCGGCCGTGGTTGTCGACGAAGAATCCAACCCCGTGGCCCTGGCCCTCGGGCTTGGAGAAGCCCGCGTAGAAGCTGAGGATCGGCTTGCCGTCCGGAGTGGTCGCCGCGGCCGGGCTCGCGGAGGCCGCGCTGCCTGAACCTGAGGCGGGCGACCCCGGGGGCCTAAGGAACTCCTGCAACGAGAAATTCAGGGAAAACATGCTTAGAACATGACGCTCGTCACACCTATCTTTTGGTTCCTACATTCCACGACTTGTCACAAGTGAGCTTATCTCTCGACACCCCTCACCTGGAACAGACTATCGCACTCGCTCGGAATGGGTGTCGTGCACTTCATGAGCTCGACGATCTCCTGGTGCTTGCGGTGCAGCTTCTCCAGGGCCGACTCCACCAGGAGGTTGACGTCGCGCAGCAGCTCGCTGGGGCCCGGGATGTGCGGCACCTTGATGGGAACGGGGTGCGGGTGCGCCTCCAGCTCAAAGTCCAGGCCCGGCAGGTAGGCGGGCAGGTGCGGGAAGTACGCGGAGAAGTTGGGCAGCCACGACGTCACCTTAGACGCCAGGTTCTTGATTCTGTCCCGGATCCCCGCGGACTGAGCCGTCGAGTTCCCTGCTGGGGCCGGGGCCGGCACCGGCGCCTGCGCCGCTTCGGGGATCGGTGCTGATTCCTTATTGTCGGCCACGTTCGGAACCTCGCCGGGCTCCAAGTAACTCGCGCGTCCGAGGGGGACGACGTCCGCGAACACGAACCTGAAGGGGAAGAGGCAGAGCGGATTAGATTTGAGATAACGACCGCCCCGAGACCGTCCGGGACCACCCTGGGACTTGAAGGGGAGACTCACCGCACGTAATGGAGGGTGTCGCCGTCGACGGGGATCGCGGCCGCGGGGACGCGCTCGATCTCCCTGCCGGGCAGGGGCTGGTCTCGGTGCTGCTCCCTCTCGCCGCTCGGGACGTCGGCGTCGAGCGGGGGCGGGCCGCCGTACGCCGCCGCCGCCACCGCCGCCGCGAGCAGGACGCACCACGCCGTGGTCCACGCCGTGGTCAGCTCCATCGTGAGCCCGCGCGCGCACTGCTCGGCCGTGGGGTGTTTGCGCGCCGCTATATGCGCCCCTCACCTAACGGCCACCAGAGATAGCCAGACGAGCCGCGATGTTCTACTAAATGGGTCGCCCGCGCTCACTTGTCGCGTCCGCGCCGGGCCCGGGGGGTCGTTTGGGACGCGATTTGGACACAAAGATGGGTATTTATGTAACGTAACCGGGCTCTGGCCCCTCAGGACAGCAAGCCCCTCGCGCCAGGCCAGAGATAAGCTCTTTTGTCGCCGCACTAATGTCAATACCTTACACGCACCCCTTTTACTGACGTTTTTTGCCTTCAAATGGACCATTTCAGGGTTAGGTGATTAGAATAAGCCAAGAATAACAAACCGGAAAAGCATTGCTTTTTAATCCCC